TACATTGGGTACGTAGATTATTGCATCTTAGCCATATGGAAATTGTGTTTCCAAAGTGTCTTATATGTTTTCTTTCAGGTTATAGTACTGTTTCCAAAGTGTCTTCTATGTTTTCGTCCAAGTTTCTTTGTCCAAGGTGTTATTTTGATGACAACCAAAAGTCGTTTCCGTTTTTCTTTTCTTTTGCACATTATTAATTGTGTCCTGAATAAGAAGCAACGGCATCTAAAAAAAACATGTCGATTATACTATATACATTGCTATGACTGAGTAGGCCGATGATGAATATGATCACTTTTTTCCATAAAATCGTACACTGAAGTCTCGCTAAAAAATTGTTGTGTCTTATATCGTTCTCGGTTTGGCCTCATGAATATATTCGAATTAATGTGTGCTACTGCTTGTTTATTCGTATTGGAACGAGGAACACAAAACACAAAACGATTTTCTTATATTGTATATTGAGAATATAAATATTATTTTCAATGTTTTCTTGTATTTCAAATGTATTTCAGAAGAAAATAAATATCTACAAACTAGTGAAAAGAAGAAAAACTAGCGTGTGGCGAAATGCCAAAAGCAAAATTTTTGAATACAAAACCAGATTACAAAATAATATGAAATATCAAAATTTTATACCGAATTACGATAAGTGATTCAATTGATGATATAGAAAGAGAATTCTTGGTTCAGTTCTCCACCTTAAGGGCAGTTACTTGATCCTGAAGTAAACCGAGTCCAAAATATTTGAAATTGAATGGAATCAAGCAAATTAAACGAAATCATTAAAAAATATTTTTGAACTAGAGAGATGTCTTTTTTTTCCCTTTTTAACTAAACAAAAGCAGGTGTAGAAGTGAGAATAATCTGCAGATTAAAAAAGTGTATTAAAGGTTTTGTATATTTTATGCCAAAGTGTGTCAGAAATCAAAAGTGTATTAAAGGTTTTGTATATTCATATGCCAAAGTGGCCTTTCGATTTATACAGTTTGTTGTATACACAAGAAGGATATATACAAAAATATATACAATGATATATACAAGAATCATATGAAGTTATTTCAAACCCTTTTTTTTTTTTGTAGCAATGGCAGTGTTTTACGGTTCCTTCAACTCTCGTATAAGAGTTGATTAGAGATGCGTATATGACACGAGCCAGAGCTTTTTATTATTGAGATAAGGGCATACCTTACTCCTCAGGTTATCTCCTATTAACTGTTGTGATAGATAATGAGAGATCATTTCAAATTACTGTCTGCTGCTACTGCTAGTTTATGCGTATTGGTTGGTTTTATAATTTTGCTACCATCACGATATATCTGACCAATTCCCCTAGAATTCCTACTTTTAATATTTTATTTCAGGTCCTTCCAATTTTATAATGTTGCCACTATAGTCCATCACCGTCTTTTTCAACACATTTTGTTTCCTTTTTTTTTAGTATATTCATTTTTTAATCATGCACTTGTCTTAAATAAATAATTAACGAAAGGAAGGTCATCTCTGTAACTCATTTTTTATTTATTTAATTTTTCTTTAGTTTAACATAATTTTTTTTTTTTTTTGTCGTCGACATAAATATTGTTTAAATAATATTGTTGTTGTCATGGATATAGACACGAATCTTGGCGACTTTTTTAATCCGATAATTAAAACTATTTGGCTTCATTAGTTCATTAATAAACTTTAGGGTTTCAGGTGCATTGTAGCAATCATGGCGACACTATCTCGGTTTTGAACATCTCCGTGTTGTCTAACTACTAGATATGCATGTGAATAGTATTATAATAACGTCACAAACGAACAAAAATGTGATATCATAACGGCATATAAGAGTTTATTAGAGATGCGTATGATTCGTATTTTTTCTTTTTCAGATACTAAGTATGTTTCTCAGCAAAATTAATATTTACAAATAAGTGAAAAAATGGAAAAAACGATATGTATTCTGAAAAACGAAGCACAAAGATTCTAAATAATACAAAGACGAGAATGTTAATGTTAATCATGCTATTCGACTACAAACTCAACTAAGGAGCAGTCTGATTGCACTGATTTTATCATCTATGTCACTGTCCTATATCGTTCTCCATTTAGCCTCATGAATATATTCGAATTAATGTGTGCTGCTACTTGTTTATTCGTATTGGAACGAGGAACACAAACACAAAACGAGTTCAGTATATTATATATTCATGTTGATACCGCGTATCACACAAAGAATTTTTATTGATGTTATAGCTGAACTCAAAATGAGCTGCCTACGTACCTTTGAGAAGGGATCAAGCTATTCGTAGTTCTATTATTAAAGTTTTGAATCCCCCTTGAAAGAAGAGAAGTATCTTCTATTTATAGGGTTTGGAAATCGGTCTTTCTGAACGATTTCCTTTTTCTACTTGGATTTGGATTCGGGAATATTTCCTTTTATTGGATAAGATTAAGGAAATATTCCGTAAAGTTTAGATGTTAATGCCGACATTGTAAATCGGGCTTTAGAAGACCATAAGCTATTAATGGGCCGAATGTCTTTTGGATATGAACCATCGTAAATCGGGATCAATTGGGCCGATCTCGGTTCATACCGGACTAAACCGGGGATGCAGAGTACACCACCAACAGTAAGCCCCCCCCCCTCAGTCCGGTGATAGAGTATGTGTAAGAGTTCGGCGGATTTCATGAGTATTTTTAGTCCGGTGTGAATTGAGATTGGAGACTTGCGAGGCTGTTAGCTCGGCTTATATGATTTTCAACTCAGTCTATTGCGAATTGCGATAACTCGGCTTACATTTGCGAGTGTTGAGAACTCGGCTTACGGTGCGAATCTGAGGTGTTCGGCTTAGTTTGTGCGAGTTAAATGAACTCGGCCTGGGGGACCCAAGTGAGCTTTCTCGTGCTGGAAGAGTGAAATTCGAACTCTTGTAAACACACGATACAGACTCAAGGTTTCCTAAGTCGAACCAGAGTGTGCGAGATGGGCTCGGCTTATTGTTCTCGGTGACTTAGGAATAAGTAATGCGGGACTGGCCCCGGCTTTAAAAATTGTGGATTCTTTCACCACGGCGCCATGTGGATGCTTGCGAGACGGATCTCGGCTTTTTGAGGTTGCATTGTTGAGAAATGTTATCGAACAACTGGCCAGGAAGTCGATGTAATACCGATGAGTTCGGTCGGGACTGCGAACATGTTAGTTCGGCTTGGAGGGACGGACCCTGAATTCATCGGAGCTTGGTTGACGAGGTGGGATAAGATGAGCGTTGTGTAGCTCGGTAAAAGAGATTGTTACTGATAAACGATTTGAAAATTCAAGCTGACGGGTTGAAAGTGACGAACTGAAACTCTGAATCAAGGCTGAATCTGATGATCTGAAGTTCTGAGCGAAAGTCTGAGTGGAAATAAAATTCTGAACCAAGCTGAATTTCTGAACCAAACTCAAATTCTGATTCAAAACTGAAATTCTGAGATTCTGAATTTGATAAACTCAAGTTGATGACTTGAAGCTGAAATTCTGAGCCGAACTGAGTTTGAATCAAAAATGAAACTCTGAAATTCTGAATTTGGCGAACTCAAGTTGATGACGAAACCGAACCGAACTGATTGAACTGAATTGATGAACTGAACTCGACGAACTAAAACAGAGATCTGAATTCGACGAACTAAAAGTCTGAGCCGAGCTGAAATCATAACTCAAAACCGAGCTGACTAAGCTTTGAATCGAAACTGAAAGGCTGAACTGAAATTCCAGAGAAACCTCAAACTGAACTGAAATCCCAACTTTCTGATATAGAACTTGACGAGCTGAGGCTGGCGATAAAGGTGCTGCAGTGTCAGCTCGGAGCTCGTCTAAAGAGAGCTTCCCATAAACTTTTGCGAACTGATTTTTCTTCCTATTTTCGTTTTTTTTTTTTCTCTTTTTTTTTTGGCGAACCGTAGCTCGGCTTGGAAGTACAGACCCTGTGATAGAATGGAAAAAAGATCTCGATAGATGATACCTGGGTTTCGCGGAAGCTCGGTTGGCGAGCTGGTGAGATTTCATAGGTGGTGAGATTTCAACGTTTAGGCATGATAACTTCGAGTTTTCGATTACTTCTTTGAGCTTAATCTGCATCTATTGCTGAAGTGACGTCGTTGGATCAATAATTTTAGTCCTGCGATGTGTTGATAAAAATTGTGAAGATATCTATTTTCTTAGAAATTTTGGATCATAATACTTATAGGAAAAGAACTTAGCTTTTTGGTGTTAGTGCTGGATTGTGGAGCTCGGCTCTTTGATGTTCAATCCTTGTGAAGATCTGAAATATTAAGTTCTCTCTCGATTTACTCTATCCATCTCTCGTGAACTGGATGAGAAACGGATTGACGAGGTGCTTCCGAACTGGTTTTTAGATTCCGGTAAAGAGCTGGTGAAGCCGTGCGGCGAGCTGAGATGACGATGGTATCAGCTAGAAGTTTCGACAGAAGATTAGAACCGAACCAATAAATCTTCTTAATCTCAGTGTAGTATTTCTAGGATGTCATCGGGCATTGAAGCTTGGGAATTGTTGCGAATCTCTGAAGTTTTCCGAGCCCAGAATGAACATGAAAGCTCTTGATGGAGAATTTCAGGAACTAACTTTCGAAATCCAAAAATGGAAGCGACGTGTGTTTTCTCGCCATGATAATTTGAAGCAAGGAAGAAGAAAGATCTCGGAGGTTCTTTGATGGAGCTAACGATGGAGATGGCTCAGGTCGGGAAATCTGCTGTTCGCCGGAAGTTGCAGGTCTGATAGGAGGGTCCCCGGATTTGACTTGACCGGAACTACATCTGTTTCACCGTCAAGAGAGGTTTTGAGGACATCGTGGAGATGGTTTGGAATGGGCTATAGTCTTCATATCAAGGGGCCATAAAGTGGGCCTAATATCTCAAGGTTTCAGATGGGCCAGAGATTTATTCAAGCCCAAAAAGAAACCTGATTTCCTTGCAATACGATTTGGTTTTGGTGCAGGTGCGGCGGTGAGTAGCGGTGGCGAAGCCGGAGCTCCTGGAAGCTCGAGTGGTGGCGACGAATGATGGGTCTCAGAGTGAGGTGCCTCCTAGCCCCTACTCCCTCCCTTTTTTTTTTAAACAAACAAGCTCGGCTGCTATGATTCCACGTGGATCGTAAGTTCTGTTGGCGCAGATCTTCTTCTTCCTTTTATTTTTGTGTGCTTTTTTCTTGGTTTTGCCTTTTGTTTTGAGGCTTGAACATAGTATAACGTCTCTTGCTCTGAATTGCTGTTGAAGACTTGAGTCAGGACGAGCTGATTTAAAGCTGCGTCGGTGGTGAAGTTGGAGAAGTCTGGAGAAGTTGTGACGACCTCCTCTTCGTCTTTTGCTTTGTTTTTAATCACAAATCAATGGTGATGAGCTCGGTTTGAGGCGACGTCAATTGTGATTAGCTGAGACAACATTTGAGGAGCTCGGCGAGATGATGCCTGTGCATTTGAGGAGCTCGGCGAGATGATGTCAGAAGCTCTGGATTCTCTCTTGTAAATGCCAAGCTTTTATATCCTTGGTTGTTCCTCTTTCTTGTGCTTCAAAATCAACTATCTTCGAGTCGAAATTCTAGAGTGAACAAACCAAATCTCCGACGATATTTGACGTGAAAGGAGCGGCGTTAGATTTTGCTGTGCAACTTTCTCGCCACAGTTCTGAAGCAAGGAAAAGGGGAAAGTCTCAGAGGTACTTTGTGAAGTGTTCTTCGTAAAGCTGCTGTTGATTATTGTTTCCAGTGGAGCTGGAATTTTTGGAACGGCATAGAAGACAAAGCCAGAGAAGATCCGATACTGAGTTTCCAAGAGAGAACGGTGAAAAAGCAATCATTGATCGTTGCCGCGAATGGTTGTCTTTGATCCGCATCTGATTCGGTATTCAGAAATTCAATCAAATATCCACATCGCGATTGGTTTTCTAGTTATCGGAGAGAAGTGCCATTGGGGAAGATGTTGAAGACCGATGAGTTAAGGGTGAGTTTGTGAACTGCTCACGAAGAATTTAGCCATGACGAACTGAGACAGGGCCATGGGAGCTCGATTTTGCATATACCGATCTGACGAGCTCAAGCAGAGCCAACAAACTCGAGCACAATTTGTAAGGCAACGACTTGATCGATGACGTTTTTTTTTTTTTTTTAATCTTGGAGAAGTTGTGACGACCTCCCCTTCTTTTGCTCTTTTATCTTTTTTTTTTTTGTAAATCACAGATTAAAGGTGATGAGGTCATGGATTCCATGGAACGTGGTCGTGTAGTAGGCGTCTCCATAGAGAATTAAAAACTGAGTCGTCGAGCTCTCGTCGGGTGAGGGAGAGTCTTTGCTTTGCCTGTCATAGGAGGAAGAGCCGTGTAAAGAAGAAAACCATATAATTTGATTTTGTGTCATGAAGCGTGAATTAGTTAAACATTACGTTATACCAATTGGTTATTGTAAACCATTGGTTATTGTAAATCAATAATATACCAAACCGTAAGTAAATAATAATTAAGCGTGAAAACTTAGCTTTGTATTTGACGTCTCGTCGGCGTTGTCAAAGATCTAAGGTCCTGATTCGAGATCATAATTGCTAGGCCACGAAAGAGTGGTAGAAAGTTTGACGTAGAGCGCAAATAACCGAATTTGTTTATATGATGGAGACGGTCTCGGTTGTGTTGTAAAAGAGCTGTGTAAGTCGTCAAAAATCATGGCTGGTAGAGACAACAGAAGATCAGATATATACTTTTATCATCCGTTTTTTTTTTTTTAAATCTCGACTCCTTCCTTCTAGCGCCAATTGTTGATACTGCGTATCACACAAAGAATTTTTATTGATGTTATAGCTGAACTCAAAATGAGCTGCCTACGTACCCTTGAGAAGGGATCAAGCCATTCGTAGTTCTATTATTAAAGTTTTGAATCCCCCTTGAAAGAAGAGGAGTATCTTCTATTTATAGGGTTTGGAAATCGGTCTCTCTGAACGATTTCCTTTTTCTACTTGGATTTGGATTCGGGAATATTTCCTTTTATTGGATAAGATTAAGGAAATATTCCGTAAAGTTTAGATGTTAATGCCGACATTGTAAATCGGACTTTAGAAGACCAGAAGCTATTAATGGGCCGAATATCTTTTGGATATGAACCATCGTAAATCGGGATCAATTGGGCCGATCTCGGTTCATACCGGACTAAACCGGGGGTGCGGAGTACACCACCAACAGTTTTACGGAACTAAGCTACTACTGATACATTTCATCAGCCTCAGTCTGCTAGTTTCTTTTTATCTGCTTCAGCTCGTCAAGTTTTATATCAGAAAGTTCGGATTTCAGTTCAGCTCGGTTTTAGTTCAAAATTCCAGTTCAGCTCTGAATATTAATTGGGTTTCGAATCCAGAGCTTCAGTCAATTTGGTTTTGAATCAGAATTTCTGCTCAGTTCAGAACTTCAGAATTTTTCAGTTCGTCATCAGATTTGGACTTCGGAACTTCAATATTATCAGTTTTGTTCAGAATTTCGAGTTTCAGTTCGGTACAACAGCTCAGTTAGTCAGACAAGTTCAGTTCATCGACTTGAGTCCGACATCTCAGAATACACTCTTCTGCCGAGCTATACCGCGCTCAAACCTCTTCTAGCTCATCAACCGAGCTCCTCTGAAATTCAGGGTCCGTCCCTCCAAGCCGAACTGACATGTTCGCAGTCCCAACCGAACTCATCGGTATTACATCGACTTCCTGGCCAGTTGTTCGATAGCATTTCTCAACAATGCAACCTAAAAAGCCGAGATCCGTCTCGCTAACACCCACATGGTGCCGTGGTAAACTCCACATCATAAAGCCGGGGCCAGTCCCGCATTTTGTATTCCTAAGTCACTGAGAATAATAAGCCAAGCCCATCTCGCACACTCTGATTCGACTTAGGAAACCTTGAGTCCGTATCGTGTGTTTACAAGAGTTCGAACTTCACTCTTCCAGCACGAGAAAGCTCACTTGGGTCCCCCAGGCCGAGTTCATTTAACTCGCACAAATTAAGCCGAACACCTCAGATTCATACCGTAAGCCGAGTTCACAACACTCACAAATGTAAGCCGAATTATCGCAATTCGCAATAGACTAAGTCGAAACTCACATAAGCCGAGCTAACAGCTTCGCAAGAATCCACCAATCTCAGTTCACACCAGACTAAAAGTACTTACGAAATCCGCCGAACTCTTACATATACTCTTTCGCCGGACTGAGGGGGGGGGGCTTACTGTTGGTGGTGTACTCCGCACCCCCGGTTTAGCCCGGTATGAACCAAGATTGGCCCAATTAATCCCGATTTATGATGGTTCACCTGTAGAATATTTCCTGATCTTATCCGGAAAAAGGAAATATTCTCAGAAGATAATTCCTCAAGGAAAAAGGAAGTTGTTCTTATCTGCTCCAAGAAATAAGGAAATCTGCATTATCAAGTCAAGAAGGAAAAGGAAAATCGACCGGTTTCAACCTCTATAAATAAAGAGCTCATCGTTCATTCAAGGATTCATTCATTCATAACTCCGCAGAAAACCCTAGAATACATCCTATTTTTCTCTCTGTAATATGAACTACGAATGGCTTGATCCCTTCTCAAGGGTACGTAGGCAGCTCATCTTGAGTTCAGCTATAACATCAATAAAAACTCTTTGTGTGATACTCGGTATCAACAATTCAGAACGAAACAAAAGTGCACACAACATGAGATCACACCTGGAGGGAGCAAGCAATGATAAGCTTTGCCCTTGATGTTTTATTGGAAAGCAAAGGAAACTTGAACATAAACATACACACATGCCATGTCCTCTCACACCGAATGGATAAAAGTTACATTTGGTAATCAGATGATCCTTTTGTAGCAATGGCAATGCTTGTCGGTTCCCTCAATAACCGCCCAACAGACTGGAGGACTCCCGTATACACGTTTACAACACTCGCAGAAAATAGAATTTGTAGTTCCGTGCGCATCCGGGCACTCGTCGAGGAACGTAATTTGAGCGGTGCTAGTGCATGGGTTAGTACCGCAGCCTGAAGCCTCGCTCTTGAGGAATCCTAGATGTTGACATATTCATCAAAATCATCAGCACAAGATATAATTAAAAGACTAACTGAAAAGTATAATAGAGAACTTGGTTAAACTATAATACCGGTTGAAGCCATCACGAGGACAAGCAAGAGAACGGTGAAGCTGACGGAGTTGAGGTTCTTTGCCATTTCTTTCTTTTTGCTTTTGCTTTTAGCTAAAACTTTTTTTTTCTTCTTTTTCTTTTCAACAAACTTAACTTTGACGATACAAATCCATAGGTGTTGAGATCTATTTATAGGCAAAAAAATTCAGCTTAATTTGTTATACTTGTTTAATCCCTCCTCTCTTCTCTCAAGTTTACCCAAGTTCATTATGTCGCCACTATTTTGCATAGCCGTATTTTTCATTACACTATTTTTGTTTTTTTAAGTCTATCATTTTTAATCGTGCACTTGTCTTAAACAATCAACCAAAAGAGAGGTCATCTCTATACTCAATATTTATAATTCATTTTTCTCTTTAGTTTGGCCCTGTTCGTTTGTCAGCCGCCTGCGGCCGCGGCTGCGACCTGCGGCTAGACGCTGCGACCAGACGCAGATGATTGTTGTTTGTTTGTCAGCCGCGCATCTGGTCGCTGAATGATGCAGCACAATATCTACCATTGTTGCAAGGACAAAGAAAGCTTAAATGCGAGTTCACTAATCAGGTCACAGCAAAGAGAAAGAATAATCAAATGCAAAAACAGCCTTAGACCCTTGAACACTCTAATATGGTACCAAACACAAACACACACAGACCCATTAAGTAACAGATTAGAGAAGGAAATAACGAAAATTGAAAAAAAAAGTGAAGTTTTATATTTATAGATTCGACCTGGGAAGAGAGAAGAGGATTGATGGAGTTTGGAAGGTGGGTTTAAAGCCGCTTTTGCTCCCGATCCATTAAAATTTTAAGCTCAGCTGATGGAGAAGATGGAGAAGATGGAGAAGATGAATGGGGAAGAAGAGTTTCGGCGCAGAGAGAAAGATCGACACTTTTTTTAGGGTAAATGGTTTTTGTAATTAACAAATTGTTATAGGGTTAGTTTTGTAATTTACAGTTTTAAACGCCGCGTTTTTTGTCGCAACGCTGGATTTGATAGCGTCCAAAAAATTAAAGACACGCGGAACGCTTGGATGCCGTGTCTGGCCGCAGGAAGCTGCGTTAGAGTAACGAACAACAATCGGACAGCCGCAGCCTCCTGCAGCAAGCAAACGAACAGACCCAACATAGCTTTTGTTTAAAAATGATAATGTCATTGTCATGGATAGAGTAAGTACGAATCTTGGCGACTTTTTAATCCAACAATGAAAACCATTTGGCTTCATTAGTTTATGAGTAAACTTTAGGGTTTCAGCTGCATTGCAGCAATCATAGCGACACTATCTTGATTTTGAGCATCTCCATCTTGCGTACGTAACTTTTATATATGCGTGCGAGTATTATTATAACTTTCCATATGTACCAAATGTGATATCATATTAACAAATTACAAACTAGATAAATACCTGCATTGGTTTGTATCTTGATATTTTATAATCCCTGAAATTTTTTTTAAAAATATTGCATAAATTTAGAAACAAAAATATTAATTATATATATGTATGTATATATATATGTATATATATATATTGAATGAAAATTTAGTGAAGTGAATGCAGTAAATAGTTGTGGATACAACTATTGAGATTTTCATTTTTTTATAGTGTAATTGACATACTAAAGAATTATGGTTTTTATATAAGTGAGAAATTGAAATTTTTTTTTAAGATTAATTTCTTTAATCTAGATAAAAAAACCTAAAAATAATAATATTTTATTTAATTTACTTATCTAATCTGAAATATGCTTTTTCTTTTCTTATAAAAAAGTTTTGGCTTTTTATTTCAAATTTTTGTTCAATTTTCCTAAACCAAGCGTGATTATTATTTTTTAATTTATTTAATACATGTCAAAATCTAATTGATTTATTAAAACCTGTGTCAAAATTAGGTGAGTTATTAACTTTAAAACATCTTCCTTTATATAATAAGACTATATTTTGCGTTCACGCTACTTGTGGATATTTAGTTGATAAAAATTATATACAATCAATTATATTTATTAAGATATAAATTTTATATATGAATGTTTTAATAATACATATTAAAAATATTATGGAGAATTCTAATAATTTTACTGTAAATTGTGAGGTTTTAATGGTTTTGTTTTGAATCTATATACAATATGTCATATTTCAAAACGTATTATTTGGTCAAACATTTATAAGTTAATGACATTTTGTGTTTTTCCTTTTGAAAACACATCCTACTCCTCAGGTAATCTCCATCTATTCTATTAAAACAGAAACATTTTTAGTAGTTGCTTCCAAACACTCCTAATTTTTTTAAAAAAATTGTTTGGAAATAGTTTTAAAATTATCCTAAAATCATCCTAATTTATTACAATATTATTTAAAAAATATATATTTTTTATATATATTTTTAATTCCGAAAATTAGATATTAGTTTAGATATTTAAAAATTTCCTTAAATATAGGTTATATTTAATTTAAAATTCAAACTTATTAATTTTTGTAATTAAATCTAATTCTGAATAATAGATATTAATTTAAATTACTTTAGACTTCCTTAAATATAGATTTATTTAATTTAACATTTAAAATTCAAATAATATTTTCAGAACAACACATATGATTAACAAATACTTTGTTATATTTTTTTAATTATATTCAATCAGACTAAAATTTCATATATTGAAAACTGATAAATATTAATATTATATAGTAATTTGATGGGATGTGTTAGGTTTTTTTTATAATTATAGTCTTATGCGGATTAAGTTATCAAAATATGCAAGATATTAAAATAAAAATTATTTCAAAAGTAGTAAATATTTATATTATATAGTAATATGAATGGACGGGTTAGAATTATAGTTTCATAGCCATAGTCCTTTTCAGATTAATAGAATGATCGAATTATAAATATATTGTTATAATAACATTTATTTTTCGATTAATAGAATGACCGGATTAAAATTATGTTTTGATGATCGTGGTCATAATAATACTAGAAAAAAATTTTAAAATATACATATAGATTGTTTATGTGTAAATTTAAATTCACATAAAAATAAAGTTCATAATTAACATTAGATCGATATATATTTAATTAATTAATACTCTTATTCTACTAATATACAAAACTATACTATTTAAAGTCAAAACATAATAACAAATTTCTTGATTTAAAAAATAAATAAATAACAAAACAAATTATATCTAAACAAAAAATAAATAGAAGTTATATTAGAAACAAAAACAAAATATTTCCGTGCGGATGCACGGAGTCAAATTCTAGTTATTTATTAAAATAGAAAATGAGAGGTCATTTCACATTTAGTTGTGTTTTAAATTGTTCTCGGTTTTGTCTCATTGAACTATTCGAATTACTGTCCGCTGCTACTGCTAGTTTATATGTATTGGTTTTATACTTTTGCTATCATCACGATAAATCTGACCAATTCACCTAGAATTCCCTCTTTTAAAAAATTTATCTTTCAGGTCCTTCCAATTTCATAATGCCGTCATTATAGTCCATCGCCGTCTTTTTCATCAAATTTTGTTTTTTGATGGCTATCCATTTTTAATCATGCGCTTGTCTTAAACAATCAACAAAAAGATCATCTCTATAACTCATTTTTATATAATTCATTTTTTTTTTTAGTTTGAAAGAATATTGTTTAAAAATGATATTGTCGTTGTTATGGATATATAGACACGAATCTTGACGACTTTTCAATCCAATAATCAAAACCATTTGGCTTCATTAGTTCATTAATAAACTTTAGGGCTTCAGCTGCATTGTAGCAATCACGGCGAAACTATCTCGGTTTTGAGCACCTCCATGTTGTGTAACTTCTATATATGCATGCGAATAGTATTATAATAACTTCACAAACGAGCCAAAATGTGATATCATACTAGCATATTAGAGTTTATTAGAGATGCGTATAATTAGTTTATGTGTTCCTTTTCAGATTCTAAATATGTTTCACAACAAAATTAGTATTTACAAATAGTGAAAAAGGGAAAATGGATATTTATTCTGAAAAACAGAACACAAAGATTCAAAATAATACAAAGAAGATTCTAAATAATACTTGGACAGCTAGAGCTTTGTCTTTTGCGGGCAGGCTTCAGTTGTTATCTTCTGTTATAGCTAGCATTACGAATTTCTGGATTTCGGCATTTCGTTTACCATCAAGTTGTATCTCAGATATCGAACGTATCTGCTCTGCATTCCTGTGGTCGGGACCTGCGCTTAATCCTCGCAAAGTTAAGATTGCCTGGGCGGATGTCTGCAAACCGAGAGATGAGGGAGGTCTGGGTTTAATCAGCATTCGGGAAGCGAATGATGTTTGCTTGTTGAAAATTGTGTGGAGGCTGGTCACAGCAGATTCTCTTTGGGTTCGGTGGACTCGATCAAATTTAATGCGGCATGAGTCTATTTGGACAACTCCTGAGCCTACAAATAACTCTCCAGGCTTGTCTATGTGGAAGCAGATTTTGAGAATGAGACTGCAAGCTGAGGGGTTTGTTAAAGTTCAGATTGGTAATGGTCGATCATCGCTGTTCTGGTACGATAACTGGTCGCAACATGGAAAGCTTCTCAATCTTCTGGGAGCTAGGGGTGTGGTTGATATGGGTATAAGAGACGAGGCGAAGGTTGCGGAGGTTCTCTTAACCCATCGACGGAGACGACACCGTTCACAGGCTCTGAATTTGGTTGAAGACGCAATCGACTCTGCAAAACTAACTTCATTACAGAGTTGATACGGAAGATCAATTTCTTTGGAGAACTAAGGGTGATACTTATCATCATGCTTTTTTTTTTTTTTTTTGAATGAATGTTAAATTTGATTCAACCCAAAAAAAAAACGTTTTTACATCAAAAGATGCTAACTAGTGATAGTTGCAGAGAGATTTTGTAAAAACCAAAACACTTTTACAATCGCACTTAAAGTGAAGCATATGCTTCGGGTCATGACGTTGCTTGCGCAGCAAGCCATCGACGGAGACGACACCGTTCAAGGGGATACAAAGGCTACTCGTGATCAAGTCCGAACAAAAGGCCCGAAGACTCTCTGGTCCAAGGGGATTTGGTTCAAGCATAACTGTCCAAAGTATGGTTTTTTGGCTTGGCTCGCAATACATGATTGCCTCTCTACAGCTGATCGAGTGTCCAGGTGGAGTCCGAATGCTTCTACGGCATGTGTACTATGCCAAGATCCCTACGAAACACGATCACATCTCTTCTTTGCATGTCCTTTCTCATCTCAGGTATGGGAAAATCTGGCACAGGGAATTTAACGCCAAGACTTCACAACTGATTGGTTGGCGATGGTGAATCTCATCTCTCGATCATACGGAAATAAGGTGCAGACGTTCATTCTTCGATACCTTTTTCAGATGACTATACATGTTCTATGGAGAGAAAGAAATGATCGCAGACATGGTTCCACACCATCTACCGCAATTCGACTGATCCGGTTCATTGACAAGGGAATGAGGAATCGCTTCAGCTCTATTCGTTTACTTGGAGACGCCAAGTACGTAGAAGGTCAGGACTGGCTGGCATCCAGGCCTAAATTTCTTAGATAGCATAAACATGATTTTTTTGATTTGATTTTGTATGTAACCACTAGCAAAGCTCGCATCAAATTGATGTAGAAAAAGATGTTTTTTTGGAGTTTGAATAAATTTAACATTCATCCAAAAAAAATACAAAGAAGAGAATGCTCTAATTAATATCATGTTATTCGACTACAAAATCAACTAAGGAGCAGTCTGATTGCATTGATTCTTTTTTTTCTTTTTTTTTTTATTTTTCCTATGAGTAAATATCAGTAGAATGAAATATCTAGATGTTACAATAACCTCAATCTTTGTTACCTTAGCCAAAATATATATATATGAGTCAAGAGAAGATCATTGGATGGTTGCATTGAGAGTTGTTCGTTACTTGAAAGGGTGTCCGGGAATGGAAATTTTGTTGAAATCTGATTGTAATTTTCACATTTGGCCATAAGGTTGGAAAGATTATTTCATCTTAGCCATAAGGAAATTATGTTTCCAAAGTGTCTTCTATGTTTTTTTGAGGTTATAGTGTTGCGAATCTCTCGGTTGATACACTTGTAGATAGACAGTGTCGGAAGCGATAACTGATTCTGTCTGATTGCATTGACTTGTTTCCTGATCAAACTGCTAATTACTTTATCATTGAATTTGGTCATACTAGCTTATAAAATAGATAAGTTAACTATAAGTGTGTTTGTAAATGTCAGTTGGAATTATAGCTAACCGTAAATGTCAATTGAAATTATCAACGGCTAGTTTTGGTTTAAGATAACTATTAATGTAAGAACACAAGTTTCAGTCTGATTGCATTGATGCATTTTTATAATCTGTGTCGCTCTCTTGTCCAAGTTTCTTTGTCCAACTAGTTATTTCGATGACAACCGAAAATCATTTCCTTTTTTTTTTGCACATCATTAATTATGTCCTGAATAAGAAGCAATATGGCATCTAAAAGATACTTGTCGATTATACTATATATAGTTGCATGACTGAGTAGGTCGATGGTGAATATGATCATTCGCTTTTCCCATAAATCGTACACCGAAGCTTCGCTGAAAAATTGTTGTGTCTTATATCGTTCTCGGTTTAGCCTCATGAAAATATTCGAATTAATGTGTGCTGCTGCTGGTTTATTCGTATTGGAACGAGCTGGAACACAAACACAAAACGAGTTTATTATATTATATATTCAGAAGGAAACAAAAGTACACAGAACATGAGATTACACCTGGAGGGACAAGCAATGATAAGCTTTGCCCTTGTTGTTTTATTTGGAAGCAAAAGAAACTTGAACATAAACATACACACATGTCATGTGCTCTCACACCGAATGGATAAAAGGTACACTTGGTAATCAGATGAGGTTATGTCAAATTCAACCCTTTGTGTAGCAATGGCAATGCTTGTCGGTTCCCTCAATAATCGCCCAACAGATATTTGCACTCCCGTATGCCTTTATACAACAGTCGCAGCAAATAGAATCAGTAGTTCCGTGCGCAGCCGGGCACTCATCGTGGAAAGCGAAAGGAGGGCAGGTTAGATCACCGCACTTAATAGCCTCGCTCTTGAGGAATCCTAGATGTTGACATATTCATCAAGATCAGCACAACAAGATAGAATTAAAAGACTAACTGAAAAGTATATAGAGAACTTGGTTAAACTATAATACCGCTTGAAGCCATCACGAGGACAAGCAATAGAACGGTGAAGCAGACGGCGTTGAGGTTCTTTGCCATTTCTTTCTTTTTGCTTTGCTTTTAACTAAAACTTGTTTCTTTTTCTTCTTTTTCTTTTCAAAAAACTTAACTTTGATGATACAAATCCATAGGTGTTGTGATATATTTATAGTCAAAATTTTGCAGCTTAATTTGCTATACTTGTTTAATCCCTCCTCTCTTCTCTCAAGTTCATAATGTCGCCACTATTGTGCTTATCCGTTTCTTTCATTACATTTTTTTTTTTTATGTCTAACCATTTTTAATCGTGCACTTGTCTTAAACAATCAACGAGAAGAAACGTCATCTCTCTCGAACTCATTATTTATAATTCATTTTTTTCTTTACTTTGAAATAGCTATTGTTTAAAAATGATATTGTTGTTGTCATGGGGCGAATTTTAATCCAATAATGAAAACCATTTGGCTTCATTAGTTCATTAGTAAACTTTAGGGTTTCGGCTGTATTGCAGCAATCATGGCGACACTATCTTGATTTTGAGCATCTCCATCTTGCGTACGTAACTTTTATATATGCGTGCGAGTATATAATAATAACTTTCCATATGCACCAAATGTAATATCACATTAACACTTTGCATATATATAAAAGAGTTAACTAGAAATGCGTATATAAACTATTATGATTTTTTTTTTTTCGTTTTCATTTCAAACTCCAAATACATTTCGCAACAAAATGAGTATTTACAATATATAAATGGGAAAAAGGGGGAAACGATATAGTGAAAAACGAAAGTGCACACAACATGGGATCACACTTGTGGGGTGCAAGCAATGATAAGCTTCTCTCTTTGCTCATCTATTTGTTGTTCACAATGTAAAGATAATACAACCTTAAAAGCTTTGTTTCAATAGAGTTTATCTCTCTTCTTGATTGATCTTTATTTGTTCTTTGTCTTTTACCTCTTAGCTTGGCCAATTTTTTTTTTCTGTTTCTTCCATTCACCAAATAAACAAAAAAAAATTCACTCTGATTTTACTGTCCAAGATTTGGTCAGTATATGGTAAATACCCAAATTTGAATGTCGGCCGGAATGGAATAAGGAACATAGAAACAAATCGAGTTTATAATCTATTGAGAATGAAACAAAAGTGTACACAACATGAGATTACACTTGGAAGGCAAGGAATGATAAGCTTTCCCTTAAGTATATATGTGAAGTTCTTTTAGTTTAACTGATGTGCGACACAAAAAAAAAAACATGAAAAACATTTAATCCAATTTATTATAATCTGAAATATATGAAATGCAATTAATTTTGAAAAAGGAAATTTAAATATAATATATTTATCGTTAACATTATATTGACATAGATAACATGAGCCAGAGCTTTTTATTATTGAGATAAGGACATATCTTACTAAGGTTATCTCCATTATTTATTGAAACAGAAAATGAGAGATCATTTCAACTTTAGTTTTGTTTGTAATTTCTGTAGGTTTTTAACAAAAAAAAAAAAGAGAAAAGAATTGGTTTAGTCTCATGATATTATTCGAATTACTGTCTGCTGCTACTGCTAGTTTATGCGTATTAATTGGTTTTATACTTTTGCTACCATCACGATAATTCTGACAAATTTCCCTCTTGTAAATTTTTTATCTTTCAGGTCCTTTCAAGTTCATAATGTCGCCACTATAGTCCATCACCGTCTTTTTCTTCACATTTTTTTTAAGTCTATCCATTTTTAATTATGCGCACTTGTCTTAAACAATCAACAAAAGTAAGGTCATCTATGTAACTTATTTTTTTATTTGTTTATTTTTCTTTAGTTTGAAATAAATACTGTTTTAAAATGATATTGTTGTTGTCATGGATAGAGTAGGCACGAATCATGGCGACTTTTTAATCCAATAACTAAAACCATTTTGCTTCATTAGTTCATTAATAAACTTTAGGGTTTCAGCTGCATTGTAGAAATCATGGCGACACTATCCCGATTTTGAGCATATCCGTGTTGTGTAACTTCTATATATGCATGCGAATAGTATTATAATAATTTCACGAACGAACAAAAATGTGATATCATAGACTCATAGTAGCATATAAGATTTTATTAGAGATGCGTATAATTAGTCTATTTTTTGTTCTTTTGTTTCAAATTCTAAATATGTTTCACAATAAAATGAATATTTACAAATAAGAAAAAAAAAAGGGAAAACGATATATATTATGAAAAACAAAACACAAAGATTCTAAATAATACAAAGAGGAGAATGTTCCAATCATGCTATTCGATTACAAAATCAACTAAGGAGCAGTCTGATTGCACTAATTCTTCTTTCTTTTTTCTTTTTCCTATGAGTAAATATAAGTAGAATTTAGATTTTACTATAACCCCAATCTACTTTTTTACCTTGGCAAAAATAATAAAAATGTATAAAGTAAAATACAGTTGGTAGATTATCGCATCTAAGCCATACAGAAATTATGTTTCCAAAGTGTCTTCTATGTTTTTTGGAGGTTATACTACTGTTGGGAATCTCTCGGTTGATACACTAGTAGATAGACAGTGTGGGAAGCGATAGCTGATTGTGTCTGATTGCATTGATTAGTATCCTGATCAAACCATTAATTATTTTATTATTGAATTTGGTGTAAATGTCAGATGAAATTATAGTTAACCGAAAAAAAAAAAATTATAGTTAACCGTGACTTGTAAGGTAAGTTTGGATAGTTTACACTTTCACTTTCCGAAAGTTATCAACGGTTAGTTTCGGTTTAAAATAACTATTAATGTAAGAACACAAGTTTCAGTCTGATTGCATTGATTCGTTTTAATAATCTGTGTCGCTGTCTCGTCCAAGTTTTTTTGTCCAAGTAGTTATTTTGATGACAACCAAAAGTCGTTTCCTTTTTTCTATTCTTTTGCACATCATCATGTCCTGAATAAGAAGAAATATGGCATCTAAAACAAACTTGTCGATTGTACTATATAGTTGCATGACTGAGTAGGTCAATGGTGAATATGATCTTTCGCTTTTTCCATATATCGTATACCGTGTTGTGTCTTATATCGTTCTCGGTTTAGCCTCATGAAAATATTGGAATTAATGTGTGCTGCTGCTTTTTTATTCGTATTGGAACGAGGAACACAAACACAAAACGAGTTCAGTATATTATATATTCAGAACGAAACAAAAGTGCACACAACATGAGATCACACCTGGAGGGAGCAAGCAATGATAAGCTTTGCCCTTGATGTTTTATTGGAAAGCAAAGGAAACTTGAACATAAACATACACACATGCCATGTCCTCTCACACGGAATGGATAAAAGGTAATCAGATGATCCTTTTGTAGCAATGGCAATGCTTGGGAATGTCGCTTCCCTCAACAGCCGCCCAGCAGACTGGAGGACTCCCGTATTTGTTTTTACAACAGGTGCAGCATTCAGCATTGGTCTTTCCGTGCGCATCCGGGCACTCGTCCAGGAACGCAATTTGAGCGGTGCTAGTGCAGGGGTTAGTACCGCAGCCTGCAGCCTCGCTCTTGAGGAATCCTAGATGTTGACATATTCATCAAGATCAGCACAACAAGATAGAATTAAAAGACTAACTGAAAAGTATAATAGAGAACTTGGTTAAACTATAATACCGGTTGAAGCTATCACGAGGACAAGCAAGAGAACGGTGAAGCTGATGGAGTTGAGGTTCTTTGCCATTTCTTTCTTTTTGCTTTGCTTTTAACAAAAACTTGTTTTTTCTTCTTTTTCTTTTCAACAAACTTAACTTTGGTGATACAAATCCATAGGTGTTTGTGTTCTATTTATAGTCAAAATTTTGCAGCTGAATTTGTTATACTTGCTTAATTTCTCCTCTCTAGCTTACCCAAGTTCATTATGTCGCCACTATTATGCATACCCGTCTTTTTCGTTACATTTTTTTTTTAGTCTATGCATTTTTAATCGGGCACTTGTCTTAAACAATCAACCAAAAGAGAGGTCATCGTCTCTGTAACTCATTATTTATAATTCCTTTTTTTTTTCTTTAGTTTGAAATAGTTATTTTTAAAAGATGATATTGTTGTTGTCATGGATAGAGTAACTACCAATCTTGCCGACTTTTTAATCCAATAATGAAAACTATTTGGCTTCATTAGTTCATTAGTAAACTTTAGGGTTTCAGCTGCATTGTAGCATTATGGCAACACTATCTTCATTTTGAGCATCTCGATCTCAATCGTGCGTTCGTAACTTTTATATATGCGTGCGAGTATTATAATAACTTTCTATATGTACAAATGTGATGTCATATTAACATATTTAAAAGAGTTAACTAGAGATGCGTATATAATAATTAATTATTATTTTGTCATTCCTTTTCATTTCAAATTCAAAATGAGTATTCTTTGCTTACAAAGAAGTGGTAAAAAAAGGAAAAACGATACCGTGAAAAATGAAAGTGCACACAACATGAGATCACATTTGAGAGTGCAAGCTAGCAATAATAAGCTATTAAGCTTTGCCCTTGATTTTTTTTATTTGGATGCTAAAGAAACTTGAACATAAACATACACACAAGTGGCTTACCTTCTCCTTTCTATTTTCCAGATGTAGTCAGTTTTGGAATACACTGATAAAAACCCTTAAAACAGAAATCATGAGAGCTCAATACATGTAAAAACACACAAACAACCTCTCAGTTTCTCGACTTTCCCTTTTATTCCTCTCTCTACCATTTCCTCATTATCTTCAATCTAGGAGCTTCTCGATCTCTTTGCTTTCGTGTTCATAATAGTTTTCTGTATATAAGGATAACACAACCTTGATGCTTTGTTTCTATAGACGTCTTGCATGATTACGTAGGTCGATGGTGAATATGATCATTCGCTTTTTCAACAAATGGTACGCCGAAGCTTCGAGTATTAATTGAAATTTGTTGGATGAACGATTTAAGAGGTGGTTAATGGTTACACATTTTTCCAAGGAGATTGCAAACAGTTGATTAGAGAATAAGAGCATATATAAAAGCAAGCAAATTAATATTCTCTATTCTATAATAAGTGATGTTTTAGAGGTTTTTTTCCAGTGATGTTCTCACAAATCTATACAAAATTCATATTTTTATTATTTTTATTATTTGTAGTCTGCATACTATTTTTTATTGTTAAATTATATTGAAATATATAATAAAATTTAGTATAAAAAATAATTAATTGTTTTCTTAATCTGTATACACAACACTAAAACATTACTGAAAGAGTATTATCACGGGTCCGGTTTCATCCACTTCGCCAGAAAACTCGCAATCTCTTCCTCATCTAAAGTTTTATTGTGTCTTATATCGTTCTCGGCTTAAAATTACTGCCAATTAGTTTGTGCTGCTGCTGGTTTATGTGTATTGGAACGAGGAACACAAACACAAAACAAGTTTATTATATATTGAGAATGAAACAAAAGTGCACACAACATGAGATTACAATTGGAGAGCAAGCAATGATAAGCTTTGCCCTTGATGTTTTATTTGGAAGCAAAAGAAACTTGAACATAAATATACACCGTACACGCATGTCATGTCCTCACACCGAATGGAAACAAAAGCGACATTTGGTATTTACATGAGATTTTTTCAGGCCTTTTGGTAGCAATGGCAGTGCTTGTCGGTTCCCTCAACAGCCGCCCAACAGACTGGAGGACTCCCGTACTTGGCTACGCAACAGGCGCAACAATCAACATCTGTCCCTGGGTACGGCTCTGGTGGGCACTCCCCAAGGAACGCACGTGAACTGGGCGTAGAGCATCCACCAGGACAGTCAATAGCCTCGCTCTTGAGGAATCCTAGAAGTTGACAAATTCATCAAGATCATCAGCACAAGATGTATTTAAAAGACTGACTGCAAATGAAGT